TTCTGCAAATTAAAATTGATTTTTAAGGCAGAAAGGCTATGTTGAGTGTAAAGATTTTCCTATTTTTTTCCTCCTCATTCAGTCAGTTGTGGTGTCACTGACTAAATCAGTTACCAGTAAGTACTTGACATTTTAGTTTTGTGAATCCCAATGTTTATTTTTTATTTTAATTTTTTTTCTGCAGGAGGTGGGCTCTGACCAGGTGGCCCCCAGTGGACCCTCCAGTGACTCCCTGCCCCCTACAAATGTTTATTGATTTTTTTTCCCCTCCAGTAATGTGTTATCAGGTGCTTCATCTTATATATTGGGTTAAGCTTTTCATTTTGTGTTTTAGCAATTGAAATGGAAAATGTATATAGCTAGTTTGAGCCTTTTTAAAAAAAAATACAATCACAAGAATTGTTTAGGAAGATGTTTTGAGAGCCATAAACACATCACAGACAAGTTGTTATTTCTTTAAGCAGGAGATAAACTACCCTATTCTTTTTTTTTTTTTTTTTTTTTTTTTGTCCTTTTTGAGCCCAGCCGCACCATGCTCAGCCAGTGAGCGCTGTGAGCGCACCGGTCATCCCTATATAGGATCCGAACCCCCTGGCGGGAGCGCTACTGCGCTCCCAGCGCCGCACTCTCCCAAGTGCGCTGCGGGCTCAGCCCTACCCTGTTCTTTTTTAAAAAATAGTTTTAGGGCCAGCCCGGTGGCGCACTCGGTAGAGTGCGGCGCTTGGGAGCGTGGCAGCACTCCCACCGAGGGTTCGGATCCCATATAAAGACTGGTCTGCTCACTGGTTGAGTGCGGTGCGGGCGCGACACTGAGGGTTGCGATCCCGTTGCCGGTCGCGGTACGGGCGCGACACCGAGGGTTGTGATCCTATTACAGGTCACGAAAAAAGACAAAAAAAAGGAAAAAAAAATAGTTTTAATGAGAGATTATTCATATACCATACAATTTACCCATTCCCTGTTTAATTTTTAAAATCATTTCTTAGGGTCTTTTCATGTGCCTTGCAAGACACATTGGTTAGGGACAAAGATATCCGAGATATTCACTGCCTCCTTTTCTTTTTCTTTTTTTTTTTTTCCTTTTTGTCTTTTTTCGTGACCGGCAACGGATCGCAACCCTCAGTGTCGCACCCGTACTGGACTGGGACTGGCAACGGGATCGCAACCCTCGGTGTTGCTCCCGCACCTCGCTCAGCCAGTGAGCGGCCGGTCTGTATGTGGGATCCGAACCCTTGGTGGGAGCGCCGCCGCGCTCCCAAGCGGCGCACTGTAGCAGTGCGCCACCGGGCCGGCCCCTCACTGCCTCCTTTTCTAATCAGTGGACAAAAATAAGTGGGATTGCAGTGTACAGAAGAAGGGAATTCCAGGTGTATAGGACAGATGAAATAAGGCCTTGAGGTGGAAATGGGATGAAGGAATGAGAACTCTGGTCTGAGTAAGGAGAAAAGCAAACAAGAAGTAAGGTAGGTGTCTTAATGATGCATTATAAAGTAGATGGTTTGAAATGTGGGCTTGTGTTTTTCTCAGGTCACCTTGGTAAATTGGGCCTTGTTGTCAGGACAGTGCAGATAGGAATTGGGAAAGACAAAAACCAGCACATAGCCTCATGGAATCCCCTGATGTTCAGGATACGGCAGCCTTCTAGTGTTCTGCTCAGCTCTACTTCAGTGTCTTGGTGTCTGATTCTCTTTCTGCTTCTTGTTGCGACTCTGCTCCCATCTGACTGCCGTCTCTGCCATCCTAGCCTCTCCTGGCCTCTGCCTACTCCCATGAGCAGTGGTGTGGAATTCTCTACTCTTCTCTTCTTTCATCATTCCTTGGCTCTCAGGCCTCCGATGGCTTCTCATCTCACTGATAGTGAAATTCAGAGTCCTTACTGAGGCCTACGAGGCTCTGCAGGACCTGGCCTGGTCTGCAGAACCTCCCTTTCTGGTCTTAGTTCCTAACCCTTTCTGTCTTTGCTCACAGTGTTCCAGCCACGTTGATCTCCCTGTTTTTCCTCACACACACCTAGCATGCTCTCACTTCGGTACCTTTGTACTTGTGTTCTCTCGACTGGGAATATATTCTTCCAGGTATTTTCTTGCTTCTTTCATTCAGGCCTCTATCCAATGTCACCTCCTCAGAGAAGCTTCCCTGGTTACCCTATCTAAAGTAGATTCCCCTACCCCAATACTCTTATCTGCTTCTTCTGTTTTATTTTTCGTTATCAGACTTGCTTATACATGACGTTATAATATGAATTTCTTTTGCATTTGGTTATTTTTTCTCTCCCTCACTGGAATGTAAACTCCTTGAAGTCAGGCTTGGTGTGTTGTATGTACTGCTGTATCCTCAGTGCCAAGAATGGTACCTGTTACATGGTGGGCCCTTAATACCTTGAATGTACATTGGCATACTGTATGGCTCACATTCAGACTTCCCCAGAGGAGGGATCTGTCAGGTTGTCCAGTATTGGATGCATCTGCTGGGCAAGATGCTAGGCTAACTGCCCCACCACCCCCTGGGCAACTGTTAAGTCAGGTGCCCATCCCTGGTACATCCAAACAGTAGTGGCCAGGACAGTTAGATCATGTGATCCTCTTCTCTTGATATTCCTTTCTTTTCATTTGCATGGGCTGGTCCCTCCAAAAGTTTTGAGTTTCTTTTCTTTTTTTAAAAATGACTGGTAAGGGGATCTTAACCCTTGACTTGGTATTGTCAGCACCACACTCTCCCAGGCGAGCCACAGGCTGGTCCCAAAAGTTTGAGTTTCAACTTCTGATTCATGAGAAATATTTTGCTAGACCCCATGTTGTGGAACAGTTGCTTTCTATTTCGAGCTAAGCATCTAGAGGAATGATAGGAAGCAGGATTTTGGCTTTCTTGGCCTTCTTTATGTCCTCTTGCTGTGCCACCGTGGCTCACACGTGTATGCTTTCTCTGCCTGTCTGTTCCTCTCTGGTTCTTGAGCGCATTCTGTCTGTTCTCTTCCATTGTCCTCTCTGGCCCCTCCTCTCTCTCTCTCTCTCTCATTCTTCTTTCTCTTTGTCATTCCAGAGCTTGCCTAGCTTGAGTTCTTGCCTCTAAGAAATCTTTCAACTCACTTGCCTTGTGTAATCTTTTCTCTCCTTTGTTCCTTATGCCTGGAGAGGCGTGAGGAGAACTGCGCTGGAACGTGCTTTCCTTCTTTCATCCTTTTATTTAACTAAGTAGTTGAAAACCTAGTTTTTGCATGAATGATTTTGTGTCAGGCTCTGGGCTACCTCAGCAAACGAAACATCCAGGTTCTCACAGTACATGGAGAGAAAAAACAAGTGGGAATTTATTATTCATTAAACAAATATTTATTGAGACTGGGAGTCAGTGGTGGGTAAAAACAAAAATTCCTACTCTCACGGACCTTATATTTTGGTAAGACAGGCATACATTCATTAGATAACCACATAAACAAATGTTAAATTATAGCTATGTTGAATTCTGTAAAGGAGGGCTCCATAGTGCTATGTAAGAATATGTGCTAGGGGGATTCGTTCTGGTCAGGAGAGCCAGGGACAGCTTTCTTGAGGAAGTAAAGGGTGAACTGAGATCTGAAGACACAGCAAGAACTAACTAGCAAGGGCAGCAGGGGAGAGGGAATAGCAGATGCAAAAGTCTGCTGCTGGGAGGCTGCTTGAGGGATTCGTTCTGGTCAGGAGAGCCAGGGACAGCTTTCTTGAGGAAGTAAAGGGTGAAATGAGATCTGAAGACACAGCAAGAACTAACTAGCAAGGGCAGCAGGGGAGAGGGAATAGCAGATGCAAAAGTCTGCTGCTGGGAGGCTGCTTGGAGCATTTGAGGAAGTTTAAGCCTAGAGAACACGGTGGAGTGATGCCAAATGAGGCCGAATGCACAGTTTGGGGTCAGATTGTGTAGGGCTTTGTGGGCTGTGTTAAGGACTCTGGTCCTTATCCTTTGAGCAACAGGATGTTTTTGAAGTGCTATAAGCAGGGGAAAAAAGGAGAGAAAGGCATAAAAAATAGTCAATGCTGTGGAGAATAAATGGAGTTGGGTATAGGTGTAAGGGACGTTGGAATGCCAATTAGAAGGCTGTAGTGGCAGTCTAGATGCAAGGTGACGTTTAGGGTTAGCTTAATAACTTCGTATAGCATACATTATACGAAGTTATACGATACCCTCTTGCCCTTTACAGTACCTGACCCTCCATTCAGTCTTTGATGAGAAAGTCTGAGTCTCGTAGTTGCTAGTGGTAGAGGTGATAATTTCATCACCATGTTTGTTGACAGTGCGAGTCTGTGTTGCAGTCAGCTGTGACTGTTCCTTGGTCTGCTTCTCAATCTCAGCTATCTGCTGCCGTTGCTGCGATGGTGCTGAGATCTCCATACCCAGAATGATGTCTCGAATTTCTGATTGTGTCAGTGATGCCACATTCACACTGTGGGGACAGTGTGGGTTAAACAACAAGGATCCCTTCCTCTTGGTCATTTCTGCCTCCATGGCAAGGGTACAACTTGGTAGGACAGGCAGCCCATCCCATCACCCCAGACAATCCTCAAGTGACACTTCTAAAGGAAGTACGAAGTGGAGATGCACTAATACTTCTAAGATTCATCACATCTCAAGCAGGATGGCACTCTGCATGTACACCTTTTAGCTATTGAGCAGCCACATTGCGCTCCCAGTGCCACGCTCTGAGTGAGCCACAGGGTCAGCCCTCCAGTAACTGTTTAATTTGTGTCCACAAATACTTATTTATAGGGCATCCTTCCTGCCTTGCAAGATGCATTAGACGGGAACAAAGAATATCATGCACAGAAGTGGCAGCCTTATTTCCTAGTTGTTCATGCTCCAACCAATAAAACATACTTCCAGAAACAAGAACCTTAAAAACAAAATCATTTCAAATTATAAATAAAGTCACTCAGGGTTCCCAGTGACTCTCCTGAGTTCTCTGCCCCTGGGACTTATTCTCTACACATCCCTTCCCAGCCCTGTCCAGCCAGTGGTTTGAGCTATACCATCTACTCTCCTGGTATAATATTAGGCCCAAGGGCACATGAGGGTCCCAGGAGAGCCAGAGAGAGTAGTACAGTAGGGAACAAGAAGTCAGAGAAGTCCAGATTGTTGGCACCCAAGACCTCAGCTCTTGAAATAATGGCATTAATCCATTTTTGGTAGTATACCACGTTGGTGTAGACTCCAGGAAGAGATTTACCACATTCTAATCCCCAGTTTACCACTCCTATCTGGATCCATACACCATCAATATGACATGACAGAGGCCCTCCAGAATCACCCTAAGGAAGAGATAAAGGTCATGAGTTTAGTGAAAAGGGACATGAAGAGGGACATAGTCACAAGGGGTGGAGAGCTCTTTAGAACCAGGCTATAAGACCCATGGAGCAGTGGGACTCTGGAGGGAGCTGGATGTCCCACTGCTTTAGGGAGAGATCAGAGTAATTTAAGAGCCATAGAATTTGAAATTGGCAGGGACATTAGTGAAATATATCAGTAATTTCAAAATATTTATTTGTGATAAAAAGAAATAAGATTAATGTGATGAGTTTTTCACTAAAGTTAAATTTATTCAGTTGAATGAATTGCCCTCATTTTTCTGTTGTTAGGTTCTTACTGCCTTTTTTTAGTGTTAAAATAATCTGTTCTTATGTACAATGATATTGATAGTAGTTGGTAATATGTCTCTCAATCTCACTTTCTTTTTTGCAATAGTTTTACTGAGTTATAAGTCAAATATATAATTCACTCATTTAAAGTATACAATTCAATGGTTTTTAGTATATTTACAGTGTTGTGCAGCCATCACTACAACCCATTTTGGAATATTTTCATCCTCCCCAGAAGAAACCCCATACCCATTAGTAATCACCCCCATTTCTTCCCAACCCTCCCAGCCCTGGGCCAACTGATAATCTCCATTCTGTCTCTGGATTTACCTATTCCAGACATTTCACATAAATGGAATCATATTATATGTGGCCTTTGTGTCTGGCTTATTTACTTACCATACTCTTTTCAAGATTCATCCATATTGTAGCTTATGTCAGTACTCCATTCCTTTCTATGGCCGAATAATATTCCATTGTATGGATGTACCACATTTTGTTTATCCATTCATCAACTGGTAGACATTTGGCTATTATAAATAATTCTGCTATGAACATTCATGTATGGATTTTTATACTGACTTGTTTTTATTTCTCTTGGGTGTATACCTAGGAGAGAAATCCCTGAGCTATATGGTAACTTTAACTTTTTGAGGAACTGCCAGATAGTTTTCCAAAGAGGCTGTACCATTTTACATTCCTACCAGCAGTGTATGAGGCTTCCAATTCCTCTACATCCTTGTTAACTCTTGTTATTATCTGTCTTGATTATAGCCATCCTAGTGGGTATGCAGTGGTGTCTCATTTTGGCTTTGATTTGCATTTCCCTGATGGCTACTGATGTTAAATATTTTATCATGTGCTTATTAGCCATTTGTATAACTTCTTTTTATTTTTATTTTTTAGTTTTTAGTTTTTATTGAATCAAAATTGATTATACATATTTTTGGGGTTCAGCATTGAGAAATGTGTTGATGAAATCAATATTACTAGTATATATATATTGTTACAAATTGTAATTATTCTTTATGCCTCTTGTCCAGTCTCTCCCTATCCTTCTCTCACTCCCCCCTCCCACCACTGAAAACCCTAGATTTCTTCTTTCCCTCTGAAAGAGTAATGGTTACTCTGTTGATTTGTTGCCTAGGTGATCTGTCCAATGCTGAGAGGTGTGATCAGGTCCCTGAATATTATCATAGAGCAGATGCTTCTTCTGTCACAGGAATGGGCTTTGTGGAGAGAGACATCCTCTTCTTTTCTTTGTCTCTGCTGGTGACTCTCCTTGTGTCAGTGCACTCCAGTCTGGCAGGCCATCTGCGTGGTGGTTGTGGCGTCTAGCCACTTTTGCAGCAGCCATGGTTATTGTGATGGCTGTGGTAGTCCACCCTCATGGAGGTGATGTTTTTGGCATGCTCCTTGGTGCTGGTGATGTGCCTGGTGGTGATGATGATGTGCCTGATTGTGGAGAGTGTCTGATCCCCTACTCCATGCCTCAGGTTTCTGGGTGGGCCATGAGGTGCTGCCGCAGTGTGCCCAGTAGTGGGAGGGGAATCCGGTCCCCTTCTCCATGCCTCGGGTCCATGGGCAGGCCCCAAGGCACTGGTGCAGTGTGTCTGGTTGTGGGGGGGGATCCAGTCCCCTTCTCCATGCCTCAGGTCTGCAGGCGGACCCCGAGGTGCTGTCACGGTGTGGCTGGTTGTTGGAGGGAGGTCCGGTCCCTGGCTTATAGCCCCAGGCCTCTGGGTGGGCCTCGAGGCACTGGTGGTGTGCCTGGATGTGGGAGTGGGGTCCAGTCCCCGGTTCCAAGCCTTGGGTTCCTGGGTGGGTCCTGAGGCGCTGGTGGTGTGAGTGGTTGTGGCCCTCATGTTCCCTGGCGCGCCCCAAGGCATTAGTGGTGTGCCTGGGCCAGAACTAATTTTTTGTCCTTTGCTTACTTCTAACTCAGGGGAGCTTCCTGTGGGAACCAGTACATGAGCTGTGTTGTACAGCTAAATTGCTACTTTGCTGCTGTTTCACTAGGGAAGGTTTTTTGTGCAGCTCAGGGTTTAACGGTTGACCTTTTCTTGACTTCCAGCTCTCCAGAGACTCGGGGCACCTGGGTTGTGTAGATACTCTGATCTGGGCCTGAGTTTTTTTGTCAAACTGCACCCCATGCAATTCTGCATTCCTGACCAGTCTCCTCTGAGTGGTCCTGCGCTGATTAGGGGGTGGATCGGCTGTCCTTGCTGTGTCCCAGTGTTCTCCCAGTGGGCTCATCTCCCCCACTGCCCGTGCTCCAAACACTTCACATGGGACGGGCCTTGTGCTGTTCCCTTGCGTTGACTCACGGGCCTCTGAATGGATCCCCTTTTTCAGCTGTTCTGGCTCCTCCCTCCTGCATGGGTCCACAGGAACCCTATTAGTGGTCTTGCTGTCCTGCGGGCCACCATAGTCCTCTTCTCCCCTGCTGCCTCCATGTAACTCCATCTAAAGGGCACAGCATTAAAGTGGCTGCAAACTGAAATGCTCAGAGCAGTTTTTTCTTTCTCTCATCGCGGTTTCTTCTGCCTCAATGAGCTCCGTAGGTCTCTCCTCCTCTTCCCCTGATCTCCCACGGCCCCAGCTTGGCTGATGTTACATTTTTATAGTTGTAAATTGGTTGATTTTGTAGGACAGAGTGACACTGAGGACCATTTATTCAGTCATCTTGACCAGAACTCTGTATATCTTCTTTAGAGAAATATCTATTCAGATTCTTTGACCTTTTAAAAATTGTGTTGACTTTTTGTTATCAAGTTACAAGATTTCTTTATATATTCAAGATCTAGATCCCTTATCATACATATGATTCGCAAATATTTTCCCCCATTTTGTAGGTTACCTTTTACTTTCTTAATGGTATTCATTGAAGCATAAAAGTTTTGAATTTTGGGGAATTCTTATCTTTTTTGTTGTTGTTGCTTATGCTTTTGGTATGATATCCAAGAAAATAATGCCTAATCAAGGTCACAAAGGTTTACCCCTATGTTTTATTCTAAAAGTTTCAGCTCTTAGATCCATTTTGAGTTAATTTTTGTACATGGTGAGGTAGGGGTCCAAGTTCATTCTTTTGCATGTGGATATCCAGTTGTCCCAGCACCATTTGTTGAAATGACTATTCTTTCTTCATTGAATTGTTTTGATACCTGTGTTTAAAATTAATTGGCCATAAATATAAGGATTTATTTCTGGACGCTCAATTCCTTATGCTAGCTAGTACCACACTGTCTTGATTACTATTATTTTGTAGTGAATTTTGAAATCAGATTGTAGGAATCCTCGAACTTTGTTCTTTTTCAAGATTGTTTTGAACCCCTTGAATTGCCATATGAATTTGAGGATCAGCTTGTCAATTTCTGTAAGGAAACCAGCTGGGATTTGATAGGGTTTGTGTTGAGTCTGTAGATCCATTTGGCAAATACTGCCACTTAAACAATATTAAGTCTTCTGATCAATGTCCAAGGGAACATAAAAAAATTCATGGAAAGGTTCGTATTATCATTTAATTCTATTATTTTTATTTTTGAAGTACCTTCATATGTGGAATGTCCTTTCATTTATTTAGGTCTTCTTTATTTTAACAATGTTTTGAAGTTTTCAGAGTATAAATTTTCTACTTCTTTTGTTAAATTTATTCAGAAGTATTTTATTATTTTTTAAATTTTAATTTTTTATTGAAACATTGATTGTACATATTCATGGGGTACAGAATTATTTTTCAATACATGTACACAGTGTTTGAGGATCTAATCAGGGTAATTAGCATATTCACCATTGCTTTTATTCTTTTTTATAATGTTATGAATAGAATATTATTTTCTTAATTTTCTCCTTTGATTATTCATTGCAAGCGTATAGAAATACAGTTGCCTTTATGTATTGTTCTTGTATCCTGCAACTTTGTGGAGTGTATTTTTAGTTCTAATTTGTGGGGGAGAGTTCCTTCATATTTTCTATGTATATGATCATGTTATTGTTGAATAGAGATAGTTCTACTTCATCCTTTCCAATGTGGATGCCTTCTACTTCTTTTTCTTGCTTAATAGTCCTGGCTAGAACCTCCACTGCAATACTGAATAGAAGTAGCAAGAGTAGACATCCTTGTTTCTTTTGTGATCTTAGGGGGAAAGTCTTTCACCATTCAGTATGTTAGCTGTAGGTTTTTTGTAGATATACTTTATTAGGTTGAGAAAGTTTCCTTCTATTCCAAGTTTGCGTAGTGTTTTTATCATGGAGGGTTGTTGGATTTTGTCAAATACTTTTTCTGTGTCTGCTGACATGCCCTTTATTCTATTAACATAGCGTATTACATTAATTAATTTTTGGATTTTAAACCAACCTCACATTCCTGAGATAAATCCCAATTGGCCATGGTGTATAATCCTTTTTATATGTTGTTGGATTTCATTTGCTAGTATTTTTGTTGAGGATTTTTGCACCTATATTCAGAGATACTGGTTTGTAGTTTCTTTGTGATGTTTTTGGTTTTGGTTTCAAGTTAATACCGTTTTCATAGAATGAGTTGGGAAGTGTTCCCTCCTTTGTTTTTTGGAAGAGTTTGTGAAGAATTGATATTAAATCTTCTTTAAATGTTTGGTAAAATTCACCAGTGAAGCCATTTGGGCCTGGGCTTTTATCTGGTCATAGTTTTTTTCCCCCTCCTCTGCTGTTGTTTTTAAATCACTTATGTAGGCTCTTTACATATTGTAGGTCTTTTCAGGTCATCTATTTCTTTTTGGGTTAGTTATGGTAGTTTGTGTATTTCTAGAAATTTGTCCATATTATCTTTGTTATCTAATTTATCAGCGTACAGTTGTTCATAGTATTATCTTACAATTCTTTTTATTTCTGTAACGTTGGTAGTAATGTCCCTTCTTTCATTCCTAACTGTAGAAATTTGGGTCTTCCATCTTTTTTCTTACTTAATCTAGCTAAAGTTTTTTTCATTTTTATTGACTTTTTAAAAGAACCAACTTTTGCTTTTGTTGATTTTCTCTATTGTCTTTCTGTTCTCTATTTCAATAATTTCCACTATAAACTTTATTTCCTTCTTTGTGCTTTCTTTTGGTTTGTTTGTTCTTCTTTTTCCAGTGTCTTAATATGGAGGTATATCTCTTTTTTTTAGTGTATGCATTAATAGCTATAAATTTCTCCTTAAGCACTGATTTAGCTGCATCTGTAAGATTTGTTATGTTTTCATTTTTATTCTTCTCAAAATATTTCCTGATTTCCTTTGTGATTTCTTCTTTGACCCATTGGTTATTTAGGATTGTGTTGATTCCCACATATTTGTGGAATTTTTGTATTTCTCTCTGTTACTCATTTCTAATTTCATTCCATTGTGGTTGGGGAACATACTTAGTATGATTTTAATCCTCCTAATGTTATTGAGACTTGTTTTACAGTCTAGCATATGGTCTATTCTAGAGTATGTTCCATATGCACTTAAGAAAAAAGTGTATTCTGCTGTTCTTAGGACTCTCTCTGTTTTTGAAATTTCTTATGGGAGTAACTTATCTCAGACCAACTCTGCTGCTGGTAACAGTTATAAATTGTGGGCAACATGTAAACCAAACTATCTGAAGGCAGTGGAGAGTGGCCAAAAGCATGCAGAAACTGGAGTCAATCCTTTGGAAGAGAAGAATGATACTTTTAAAAAATGGTTTATCCCCTGAAGCAGGCCCCAGTCATCATCAGACATGGTGGCTGGAACTTGAGGAATCAGAGGATAGACATCAGAGCTATCACAGAAGTTGGAAAGTGAAGATAGAGGAACCAGAAAGGAGAGCTCCCCAAAGAGAGAGCCCCAAATTCTGCATCTAAACTCTGCTGAAGTCTCTGGCTGACCCCTGAACTACACACACATGTGCAGATGAGATTCCACGCAGCTCAGCTAAGGCTTAAAGAACTGCTGCTGTCTGTCACAGGAAAGATCCAGTTTGGAGTTTGAGGTCAGCCAAGTTAATTGCCTGTTGAAACTGGAAATCAGTATTCTTTAGAGGAACATACCAATCCATATTGTCTACAATACTGCATCACTGACAATGTCCAGGATATAATCCAAAAATACTAGATGTTAAAATAAACAAATAGGAATATGTCTCCCAAGACGTTACTCAGGAGAAAAAGCAATCAATGAAGCATAACCCTGCGATAACTCAGATTTTGGAATTAGCAGATAAGAATTTTTTTTTTCTTTGTCCTTTTTGTGACCAGAAAGGGGATTGCAACCCTTGGCTTGGTGTCACCCGCACCGCGCTCAGCTAGTGAGTGCACCGGCCATCCTTATATAGGATCCGAACCTGCAGCAGGAGCTCCTCTGTGCTCCCAAGCGCCACACTCTCCCGAGTGCGCCATGGGGCCGGCCCAGCAGATAAGAATTTTAAAGCAGCTATTGTAGCTGTGATCAATACATGTAACGGAAAATATGCAAATAATGAATATACAGATAATATACAGATAGGAAATCTTGGCAGAGATCTGGAAAAATGTGTGTGAGAGCAAGAGAATAAAAGCATATAGTCATTCTAGAACTTTGAAATAAAAATTTTACTACATGAATTTAGCAGTGAAATGTAAATGATGGAAAGAGGCAGTGACCTTGAATATAGATTAATTAAAAAGTATCCAATTTGAAGAACAGAGAGAAAAAGGTAAATATAAAATGGACCTGTGTGAAAATATCGAAAGGTGTTAACTTACAGATGTACGGTTTCAACCAGAAGGGTGTGCAGAATAAGTTTGAAGAAACTGTGACTGAAAAATTCTCAAATTTGGTGAAAGATGTGAAAGACCATATGGAAAAACCAAAAGCTCAATGAACCCCAAATAGGATAAATACAAAGAAAACCACACCTAGCCCATCACATTCAAGCTGCTGACTATCAAAGATAAAAAATACTGAAATAAGCCAGAGCAGAATAACACATCGTGCTTAATAGAACAAAGACACAAATGATGGATGATTTTTTAAAAATTTACTTATTAATATATGTATTTTTTCACATTCTATGATGTTGCGGAGCAGTTGGGGGGCTGGGGGAGAGAAGAAAGGGAAAGGAAATAGGATGGGAGAAAAAGGAAGGAGGAGGGGTAGGGTTGAGGCCTGTGGCATCCCTCTCATTCCTGTAGGGGAGACCAGGGGGCTTCCAGAGGTGTCTTGGTCATGGCTGGGCTAGGTACAGATAACAGGAGTGTGTGGCCGAAGCCTTCGCCCCCCACCATCCCAGGAGCCTGGGGTACTTCTTGCAGCGACTTGTTGATTATAGCTGGGCCGATTGCGGGTGTAGGGGGGGCATGGCCGAGGCCCTTGGCCCACCATCCTTGGGACTAGTTGCAGGTGTCGGGGGGGCATGGCCATGGCCCCCAACCCTGCCCCTTCCCTGGCTTGGTTACCCAGGGTACTTCTGGTCCTTCTTGGTTTTATAAGTGTTCTTTGGTGATGTGAGACCTTTAGTAGTTACTGTCAAACTTTGTCTCTGGTCTGTAGGTATTTTGTTTTCTCTTTGAGCTCTGTGTTGGATTATTTGCTGTTCCCACCACTTAAACTCTGCACTGGAACTAATTTGTTGTCCTTTACTTACTTCTAAAATGGAGGAACTTCCTGTGGGGACCAGCACTTGAGCTGTGTGGTTGAGCTAAATTGCCGCTTTGCTGCTGATTCCCTGGGAAAGGCTTTTTGTGCAGCTCAGGTTTTTTTTTTTTTTCCTTTTTGTCTTTTTTCATGACTGGCAACGGATCGCAACCCTCAGTGTCGCGCCCATACTGGACCGGGACCGGCAACGGGATCGCAACCCTCAGTGTTGCGCCCGTACCTCGCTCAGCCAGTGAGCGGCTGGTCTGTATGTGGGATCCGAACCCTCGGCGGGAGCGCCACCGCGCTCCCAAGCGGCACACTGTAGCAGTGCGCCACCGGGCCGGCCGCAGCTCAGGTTTAATTGTTGACTTTCTAGGTACTTCTGGGTCTCGTGAGATCAGGTGCACCTGGGTTGTGTAGAAACTCTCATCTAGGCCTGGGCCTTTTCAGCAAACTGCACCTCCCTGCAGTTCTATATTCCTGACCAGTTTCCACTGAGTGGTTCTGTGCGGATTAGGGGGAAGATCAAATGTCCATGCTGTGCCCCAGTGTTCTCCCAGTGGGCCTGTCTCCCCCACTGCCAGTGCTCCAAACACTTCCCATGGGGCTGGCCATGCGCCGGTTCCTTGCGATGACTCACTGGCCTCTAAGTGGCTCCCTTTTTTCAGTTGCTCTGGCTCCTCACTCCTGTATGGGTCCACGGGAACCCTATTAGTGGTCTTGCTGGCCTGGGGGCCACCAAGTTCCCCTGCATCCTCCAAGCATTTCCATCCAAAGGGCACAGCTGTGGCTTTTGCCAGCTCTTGCTCTGTGTGCTCAGCAGCTCCAGCTTGGAAGCAGCCAGGGCTTGAAATGGTCAGAGCAGTTTTTTCTTTCTCTTATCATGGCTTCTCCCACTTTCATGCACTTTGTAGGTCTCTCCTCCTCTTCCCCTGAGCTTTAGTGGCCCTAGCTTGGCTGTTGTTGCCTTTTTTTGTTTGTTTGTTTTTTTAAAAATGACTGGTAAGGGGATCTTAACCCTTGACTTGGTGTTGTCAGCACCAGGCTCACCCATTGAGCTAACCGGCCATCCCTATATGGGATCCGAACCCATGGCCTTGGTGTCATCAGCATCACACTCTCCCGAGTGAGCCACAGGGCCAGCCCTGTTGCTTTTTTATAGTTGTAAATTGGTTGATTTATGGGAGAGAGTGATGCTGGGGACTGTCTATTCTGCCATCTTGACCGGAAGCTCCAATGGTTGATTTTTTTTATCAGATAGTTATGATCAGGGGACAATAGAACAACATCTTTTAAGTGTAGAATACCGGCTAGCCACACACACAAAAAAATGTGTAGAATGAAATGTTCTTACTTGAAAAAATAAAGTTGGCAATTCTGTGTCAACCTCTTAATATATTTATGAAAATTCACAGATCTGTAAAAGTTCAGGGGCCGGCCCATTGGCAATTCTGTGTCAACCTCTTAATATATTTATGAAAATTCACAGATCTGTAAAAGTTCAATGAGCAGTGGTTAGCATTGGTCTAGATCAACAGTCTTACAGTAGAAGAGATTAAATTTATAGATATAGATTATTAGTGATTAGTCTAGGATTAGTCCAGGGTAACACAAGAATTATTGTCAGAACCCTCATCTCCTGACACCCAGTTCACTGTCGTTTACTGGTAGGAAAACCTGAATCTAAATTAAGATCTCATGTTAAAAAAAAAAGGTTTCAAGAGCAAATCCTAACCTTGCAACTGTCTCTCATTTTTTGAGTGTCACCAGCACAAATCATGTCTTCCTGAATGACTGGCTCCATTTCTGGGAAGAAGGCACCAACTGGGTTGTAGAGTCGTTCACAAGCCTGGTGGTCAATGACTGGTATTTCTGCTTCCTGGAGGGTAGAAGGGTAATTGCCATCTGCAGAGGAAGACAGGAATGAAAGGTTAAATCAACCTGGAAAGGTGGAGGGGCAACATTCAGTCATGATGTGCAGAAGTCTCTGAATGGGAACAGAAAAGCAGAATACAATCATGTTCCAATCATATTTATTTATAGAAGGATCTTTTGCTACAGTTAAATCTGAAACAATGGATTATTCAAGATTGTTTCCATATTTCAGGTTTTTCTTCTATTGTGCCAATGTTCTAAATAAAGAGTAATTCTGATAAACTCTGAGTAAAGATTTGAGTATTTTTCTTTTTTTTTTAAAAGATGACCGGTAAGGGGATCTTAACCCTTGACTTGGTGGTATCCGCACCATGCTCTCCCCAGTGAGCTAACTGGCCATCCCTATACGGGGATCCGAACCCGTGGCCTTGGTGTTTTCAGCACCACACTCTCCCGAGTGAGCCATGGGCTGGCCCCAAGATTTGAGTATTCTAAAGTATTCTAAAATTTCCTCCTTTCCCATTTGCCTGCTTCCAGATCAGCACCTGCCTTGTCTGTACTCCATCCTAGGAAAGAATTGACACTTTAAAAACATAAAAAACACTAGACTTATGAACCTCTGTTTGAGAGAGGTAATTATGTATTTAAGTTCTTAAATTTGCATATCCAGCTATAGTTAGACTCTAGGCGTTATATAAGAATAAATAAACATATAGAGGTCAAAAAAGGCATTTTATTTGAAGACTTATAAGTAATATCATTAGATAGATCTGGTTTTGTTGAAAAATAGAGTAAGGATATGCCTAGAATGTGAATGTTCTGGAGTGGGTACATATAAAACAACCCCTCTCTCTCTGCCCATTCTCACCTGTACTTTCCTTAATTTGTCCCCATCCAGTCACCCAACAAGAGGGTGGAATTGTCAACTGCTTTGTGATATTGTGCAAACAGATGGGCAGGATGAAAGAAGTGAAGGTGACTTGGGAGGACAGTTTCAACAAGGCAATGTCTGCAGTTGTGTCTTGGTATTTGGGATGGATGACGATTTTGGACACATGGTACTGCACACCGTTACTTGAGTAGCCTACTTCAGTCGATCCCAGCCATACAGTATATAAAGAAGCAGACCAGGTCCTAAGGAGAAAAGGGGGAAAATAAAAGTGGAGCTTTTTATTTTTATTTATTTTTAATTTTATTTATACAGCTGGGTCAGAACAAGCTGCCTATATGTAGCACTAAGTCTCTAAGCAAGAAAGGAGGGTAGACGACTGGGAATTAACCAGAGTACTTCCAACTTGAACTAGGGTTGATGCGTTTCCTTCTTCTCTCCTTCCCTTCTTTCCTCCCTCCCTGACCACTCTCTGTGGTCTTCTTTTACAAGCTATGGCCAAAGTTTTGTCTTGTATTTTCTCCCTGATTCTCTCATTTACCTCTCCTATTCTCCATGGTTTCAGCCATCATTTGTACACTTAATAGTCATTTGCTCTTTACTGCCAGTTTTGACTTCTGTTCTGAGCACTAGACCTTTATTTCAAAATAAAATTTTAAAACAAAGTGTAACCAAAGTTACACATATACACAATTTTATTTTATTTTGTTTTGGTGGCTGACCAGTGCGGGGATCTGTGTTGCTTTGCCTCCCACAGATTTGTCACCCCTTTTCCCCTGGGTGGCGGAGCTGCCAAAGATTACTCAAAACCCCTCTCTTCTGAACAGTGAGAAGTCCTGAAAAAAGGGGTTAATCTCCCGGAACCCTCAAGATAGAGGCATTCCTTCCAATTGGGAAATTAACCACGATTTGGGGTTCTCTTCCCACATTTATTCTCCAGACCAGGAAGTTACAGGAAGAGAACATAGGTGGGGTTTTTGCTAAGTATAGTTTAACAAGTTTAACAATAGAAGCTGGTAACATTCAGTAAGACAAGCAAGGTGACATTCTATAATGCAGTTAAGTTGATCCACTAACAAAAGCTTGATTTTAGCATTCTCTTCTTACAGCAATTTCCCAGTATCTTTACATATCAATCAGTAACCTGTCTGTCTTTGAGCCAGCAACCTTGCTGTGTTACAGTTCTTTACCTTACAACAGAGACTATAGCCTGGGGAAAATTTCCTGTCCTTTGCAAGGTCAATATTTGAAACTGCAAGGCTTTGGAAAACCAGGCCCTGTGAAGTACATTTGCTTTATGCATACTCCACAGATCTGAACCTTTGACCTTGGGGTTATCAGCACTGGACACGATTTTTTTTTATTTTTAATAATTGCAGATTTTTTTTTTTTTTTAAGATGATCGGTAAGGGGATCCTAACCCTTGACTCTGTGTTGTCAGCACCACACTCTCCCAAGTGAGCCAACCGGCCATCCCTGTATAGGGATCTGAACCCGTGGCCATGATGTTATCAGCACCACACTCTCCCAAGTGAGCCATGGGCCAGCCCTAATTGCAGATGTATTTTGAAATAGGTCTCTACAAAGTGTTACGGGATCATAGAAATGAAATTACTTGATTCTGTCCGGGAAGATCAGAAAAGTCTTTCCCGAATAGAGAACAAATTGAAGTTTGGAATAATGAATAAGAGTTTTGATTGAGGAAAATAACTGAGTATTAATGGAGTAGTATATACTGTTGAGAAACAATTCTTCAGGGGTCTCTTTTTTTTTTTTTTGTCTTTTTTCGTGTCCGGCAACGGATCACAACCCTCAGTGTCGCGCCGGGACCGGCAACGGGATCGCAACCCTCGGTGTCGTGCCCACACCTCGCTCAGCCAATGAGCGGGAACCGGTCTGTATGTGGGATCCGAACCCTCGGCGGGAGCGCTGCCGCGCTCCCAAGCGGCGCACTGTAGCAGTGCGCCACCGGGCCGGCCCCTTCAGGGGTCTCTTTATATTAACTGCATGTCTTACTAGTGACTAGCAAACAGCCTTGGAAGGCAGAAATAGCATCTCCCTTCAGAGCAAAGGACAGGCATGCCTACTGCCCATTATGAAATGTTGAGATCCCTGAGTGCAGCTTCTGAAATGCAATCTACTTCATGGGTGGGTGCCACCTGGTCCTCCTCCACTTTCTTGTTCTCCAGTGGGTTGCCTTTCATGCTTGTTGACCAAATAAGATGTGAGAACCCTATCTCTCTCTCTTTTTAAAAATTTTATTTTTATACAACGTAAACATTCTTTCTGGCCCTTTACCAATTTTCCATAACCCCCACCTCCCTCCCCCTTTTCCACTTCTGGTGGCCTCAGTTCCATTCTCTCCTTTCAAAAGCTCAAGGAATTATTGTGATTGTTGTATCTTTCTTTTTTTTTTTCTTCCAGCTCCCACTTATGAGTGGGGACATGTGGTATTTCTCTTTCTGTACCTGGTTTATTTCACTTAACATAATTTTCTTTAAGTTCATCCATGTTGCTGTGAGTGGCAGAATTTTATTCCTTTTATGGCAGAATAGTATTCCATTGTGTCTATATACCACATTTTCCTTATCTATTTGTGCATGGATGGACATTTAGGTTGGTTCCAACTCCTACCTATTGTAAGTACAGCTGTGATAAACATGGGAGTATCCCTTTGAAATGATGATTTCCATTCCTTTGGGTATACACCCCACAGTGGGATTGCTGGATCCTATGACAGTTCTATCTGTACTTGTTTGAGGAAACTCCATTCTGTTTTCCATAATGGCTGTATTAATTTACAGTACCATCAACAGTGTAGGAGGGTTCCCCTTTCTCTGCATTCTTACCAGCATTTGTTATTATCGGTCTTCTTTATTACAGCTGGTCTAACTGGGGTGAAATGTATCTCAGTGTGGTTTTAATTTGCATTCCTCTGATGCTTAGTGATGTTGAGCACTTTTTCATGTGTCTATTGGCCATTTGTATATTTTCCTTTGAGAAATGCCTATTCAGCTCCTTTGCCCATTTTTAAATCAGGTTACATGTTTGTTTGTTTGTTTCCTATTAAGGTGTTTGAGTTCCTCATGTATTCTGGATATTAATCCCTTGTCAGATGCATGGTTTGTGAATATTTTCTCCCATTCTGTACGTTGTCTTTTTGCTCTGTTAACTGTTTCTTTTGCTATGCAGAAGCTTTTCAGTTTGATAAGATCTCATTTGCTTATTTTTTTCTCTTGTTGACTGTGCTTTTGGAGTCTTATTTATAAAGTCTTTGCCCAGTCCTACCTCCTGAAGTGTTTCTCCTGGGTTTTTTTTTTTCGTAGTTTTATAGTTTCTAGTCTTATATATAAGTCTTAATAAAGTCTTTAATCTATTTTGAGTTGATTTTGGTATATGGTGAGAGTAACAGGTCTAGTTTCATTCTTCTACATATGGATGTCCAGTTTTCCTAGCACCACTTACCAAAGAGGCAGTACGTTCCTCATTGTTGTCCTTGTTAAAGATCAGTTGGCTGTAAGTACGTGGGTTGATTTCTGGGTTCTGTATTCTGTTCCATTGGTCCGAGTGTCTGTTTTTATGCTAGTACCATGCTGTTTTGGTTACTATACCTTTCTAGTATAATTTGAAGTCAGGTAGTGTTAAGCCTCTGGCTGTTTTTGCTCAGGATTGCTTTGGCTATTTGGGGTCTTTTGTTGTTCATATGAATGTTAAGATTGTTTTTTCTATTTCTGTGAAGAATGTTATTGGTATTTTGATGGGGATTGCATTGAATCTGTAGATTGCTGTGGGTAGTATGGACATCTTCACAGTGTTAATTCTTCTAATTCAGCAGCATGGATTGTCTTTACATCTTTTTGTGTCCTCTTTAATTTCTTTCAGCAGTGATTTGTAGTTCTCATTGTAGAGATCTTTCACCTCCTTGGTTAAACTGATTCCTAGGTATTTTACTTTTTTGGTGACTATTGTAAATGGGCTTGCTTTCTTGATTTCTTCTTCTGCTTTGTTATTGTAGTATAAAAAAGCTACTGATTTTTGTGTGTTGATTTTGTACCCTGCAACTTTACTGAAATCATTTATCAGCTCTAAGAATTTTTTTTTGTAGAGTCTTAGTTGTTTCTATGTATACGATCATGTCATCTGCAAACAGGGACAGTTTGACTTTGTCTTTTCTAATCTGGATGCCCTTTATTTCCTTCCCTTGCCTGATTGCTCTGGCTAGTATTTCCAATACTGTGTTAAATAGGAATGGTGAGAGTGGGCATCCTTGTCTTGTTCCTGTTCTTAAGGGAAAAGCTAAAAGCTTTTCAGGATGGTATTGGCGGTGGGTTTGTTATATATGGCTTTTATTGTGTTGAGATACTTTCCTCCTATACCTAATTTGCTGAGAGTCTATTCTGAAGGGATGTTGAATTTTGTTGGCCTACTTTTGCCTTCTGCTGGGTGGGGGTTGCTGCCCATGGCTCCTGCCTAGGACCCTGTGCGTGCTTCTGTTTTCTGCCAGGCAGTGTGGGCCATACACAATTTTAAATGACAAATATTGTAGTCCCCCTTTATATGTGGGGGATACATTTCACGACCCCTGGTGGGTGCCCAAAACTACTATAAAACCAAACCCTATTATGTTATGAGGCGTAAATTTCTTTTTTCCTTCTTCACAATTCCATGGATAGAAGATTCATTCTTACCATAGATCTTAGCAACTTCATCATACAACTTTTTTTCTTTCGTTATTAGGTTGAGAATTTTTCACCTTTTCACTTAAAGGAAGCACTTAAGGTTTCTCTTTGGCATAAAAAGCTTTGGGGCGATTACGAAGTAAGATAAGGGTTACTTGAATACAGCACTGTGGTACCGTGACAGTCAGTCTGATAACTGATGGCTACTAAGTGACTAGTGGGCTGGTAGCATGTACAGTGTGGATATGCTGGACAAAAGGAGGATTCACATCCCTGGCAGGACGGTGTGAAATTTTATCA